GGTGGGGCTCGTTGTTTTGAGTCGGTGCTTGCGGGTGGGAAGCGGGGGGTTGGCCCGGCTGCTGTTCCTGAGCTTTTTTGTCGGCTCCGTATATTTGTTTTGGCAGGTTCCCGTTTTTGTGGTTTTTGGGCGTTGTCGCGGGTGATTTTAGGGGGTGGAAAATTGAAGGGGAAATCCTTGTTCCGGCATCCCCAGTAATTAGTTACAATATGGAAACATGTCAAGGCTCAAAAAATCGGTCCTGTTCCAATGGCCAAGGAATTCACCGCGCCGCCGTGCCACATCCTCCCGAGCGGTGTTACCCAAATTTTATTCACCCCGCTTCGCGTGGGGTGGCCGCCCACACCGCAAGTTTATTTCGGTCCGTGAGAGGGGCTAAGGGTGGTTTTCCCCCGTGGGGGCTCCCCAAGCTAAGAATTTTCACTTTCCCCCCCCGTGGGGGCTCCCCAAGCTAGGGAATTTTCACTTTTCCCCCCCGTGGGGGCTCCCCAAGCTAGGGAATTTTCACTTTTCCCCCCGTGGGGGCTCCCCAAGCTAGGGAATTTTCACTTTTCCCCCCGTGGGGGCTCCCCAAGCTAGGGAATTTTCACTTTTCCCCCCCGTGGGGGCTAGGGAATTTTCACTTTTCCCCCCCGTGGGGGCTTCCCAAGCTAGGGAATTTTCACTTTTCCCCGCCGTGACAGCTTCCCAAGCTATGGAATTTTCACTTTTCCCTCCCTTGGAGGCCCTCCAAGCTGCGGAATTTCAAATAGCTAGACAACGACGCCTAGATACGTGTTCTTTGAATGTGTTTCCATGTTTTTGCAATGGTTTCCTTCAAAGCACGGTACTTTACACTTTTGTCGCCATAAAACCGGTCGAAAACATCATGTTCGACAATGCTTCCAATTCCCTTATCTCCCCAACCGTTGAAAATACCGCTACTTACAGTGTTTTCTTCAATTTTTCCATGTGCCAATGCCGGTAGCCAACTCCAACATATATATAAGAAATCCTTCCAAAACATTGTTTTTGACAGTGTTTTTCAATGTTTCCAGTCAAGCAGACGGTAATTTACACGTTTTTTTTGCCATAAAGGCAGTAAATCCTTCCAAAACATTGCTTTTGACAGTGTTTTTGTAATGTTTCCAGTCAAGCATACGGTAATTTACACGTTTTTTGCTATAACGTCAGTCCAAAACACTTGTTTTTGTAGTGTTTTCAATGCTCTGGCATCCAAAAACCCTGCAAAATCTTGCTATGTACAATGTTTTTTTCATTTTTGGCCGTTTTTCCATTGCCGGAAAGCTACCAAAATGACCCAAAATTCCATTTCAATACCCTCTTGGGCTCAGACACCCAAAAATCCTCGAAAAATGTCGAAAACACCACCGAATTCTGGTCTCGGTGCGAAACCGTTTTTGGGGTCTGGTCTCGGTGCGAAACCGTTTTTTGCCCCCCCCCAGCTAAAGCTGATATAGCGACTGCTATATTAACAAATGTCATTGAGCATTTAGTGTTGCTGTTGCCCCCCAATAAGCACGCCTTCACCGCCAAAGCGGTGTGGGCGGATTTTTCAAACATAGTTTCATGATATTTCATTCTGTTCTTTGCCTAATGGAATTGGCTACCCAAGAATCAAGATCTTGATTTTTGATTGGGATGATATTTGTTCTGATAGTTACGTGGGGATTCGTACATAGAATAAGGGGATTTCTGCATTGGAAACCACTAAGCGTTGGGCATTGGGATGTGATGTAGTAGGGGGTTAGCGTTTGAAAAATATCAATAAACAAATATATATATATATATACAATCAACAAAATGGTAGTCAAGGGGTGAGCCATGCAAAGATTTGGTTGAGAAGTTCTAAGGAGTAACTTGGGGAAGCTATGAACTCATATTTTATTTCCGGTATGCCACATCCAGCATGGGCGCAGGTAGACGGCCCAGGCCCTGATTTGGAGGAGCTGTTAGACAGAGAGATCGAATCAGAATCCAAACCAGCCAAGAAGAAAGGACGCCTAGTCTTTAAGTGATTGATGATTCGCTTAGAGATTAGATTCCGTTTTGCAGCTTTCCATACATAAATTTTCAGTAATGGTGCTGGGAGGATATATCAAATTTCAGGAAAACGGTTCCCGTTTGAGTGGCAAAGTGGCTCCTTGCCAAACCCAAGTTGAAATAGCCGCGCCAGCGAACTCTTTGTTCAGGGCGGCCTTCGTCAGGGGTGAGCTTGCAGTGTATGGCACATGTTCAAAGCCATTAGCAAAAAAAGTTAATTTCAAATCAGAAGAGTTTTCTGGGAGCAACCCCTTGCCATGCAAAGATACATTTTCCTGCTCGGCTCCCGGATCAAATGAGTTGAATCTTTTATTGATTATATATTTCAAATTTCCAAATGGGGAGAGCACATTTTAGACAATGAATATTGCATCCTGTCTAGAGCTGACTGGGGGCCCAGCATGGCGACTCAGTACAGTACTGCACACTGACATGGGGCAGTAAATCCAATTTCAAGACCAGGCGGATGCCGGAAAAAATCGATGCAACCATGTACGGAACCAGCAATTTATGTAATTAAGTAGTTTTGTGAGCACATCATTCTCCAGAGCTGTTCAAACTAAAACAGCTGGTGTCATCATGGATCATCATGGGGTTTTTGGCCCATGCACATGCTTTGGTTTTCACACATGTGGTTTCGTTGCAGAGTCCGACACAAGTATGTGAATTTGGTGTTCAGCATTTCTGGCTCGCGCCTGCTTTAAACATCGGTTGGAGCTACTTCGTGTGCGATTCAGTGCAGCTTCGCGGATGACTGCAAATGGTTCCGATCAAACTTCCAAAGTCTTGGGCACATACCGTGATGCCACTTCGCCCAGCTCGGTTTCCTCGCCTGCTCTGCTCTCGCGAGTTACATCACCAGCTTTGACGAAGGAAAGTGTGTCTCCTGGCAAAAATGCTGGAAGCCCATCGGTTTCTGATTCAGTGCAGAGCGCGTTTGCAAACATGTCGCTGATCACCCCTCCCAGGAAAAAAAAAATCCGGGTCACACCAAACAACACGCCATGTTCTGAGAAGACTGGTCGTGTCAGGATGGGGCGAGATAGCCCAGTTGAACTTGGTCTTTTGAAGTCTAAGGGCAACGAAACCGTCAGCAGTGGCGTGGAGGCTGTGGGGACGCCACCATCAAGTGAGCAGAAATTACTCTTGACATCCCAGGCCCTGAAGAATCATTTGAATCTCATGATGAAGACTCCAGAAGATTCGAAGACATGTGTGACAACTCCACCCGCGCCAGTTCGTCACAAGCGTTGCTCCCAGGCAGGCAGGGAGCAGAGATTGATCAAAACAAATTGATCGAAACAAATCAATAGACTTTCAAAGGTGACAATGGCTGTCATCCATGTCCCTTGTTTTTTCTTGGGGTTCTCTTGTCCCAAATTAGGGTGTTTCTCCGCTATCAAATCCTCCACATAGCGTTGCAGGAAGTCCCACAAACATCTGTTATATTTTGAAATAGGATATTTCATGGGCCATTATTGTATGTTATAGTGGGATTTGATTTATCAAACAACATCAAATGCCATAAAAGATAAATTCGGTATACAAGTTTGATCTTATCACCTATCATTATGACAATCTTCCCAGCGAATGTGCGGGCCTTGACAAACCCATTCCCGAAGCTTTCAAGGGAATTGGGGAACCATGGGTTTGAATAGGATACGTATAATATATATATATATATTGATTTTTATGATCTTTATATAAATATATGAACTCTGATATGTCGGTTTGATTTGATATGTCGGCCTAGTCATCTGATCTGTCCTCCAGGAAATGTTGGCCTCGCCGCCAGATCCTCCCGCTCCTCATCCTCGTGGCCGCGACGTTGATACCGTTTCCACTATTGCGCTTTCCCCTGCAAGCATTCGATCATCTCCTGAGTGCGCAGTGCAAAGTAAGCGGGTAAAACTTTTTTGTGAGTAGATTAGATTCTTTGAGGAAGAATCAATCAGTTCTGAATGTTTGCAAATCATTTTGGTTTGCCACAGTTCAACTATGAGTAGTTGATGCAGAATCATCATGGCAGCTAGTTGGTCATGGCCGATACTTCTTGAAAGATTGGCTGGCTTGTCGCATGGCACAACTCGGGCATCGAAAAAAATCCGGGCCGTTTGCACATCAAACTGCTCCAACCATGATCAGCATCTCAGCATCTCAGCCACATATTCCCGATTAGATCAGCGCGCCAAGGTTCTCAAAAAGGTCTTTGCTGAGCAACTGGATGGCAGTTCCGCTTGGAGGAATCTCGGTTGAACAGTGCTTGACACCAAATCAAAAATTGCAAAACCTTTGGGCAGCACAACACTCTGATTGAAGCCAAGGCCGCGTTTAAGCAAGAAGGATTCGAACCTTTACTTTGCTTCTCGGCCAGCTGTCACCATGAATTAGCGGGGAAAAACCTTTGTTCTTAATTCTTAGAGCTGTTAGGAACGGCATTCGGTCAGTGGACATGGGCCTTCGTTATTGAATCCGTCTCTTTTTCTTAGGTGGTTTTGAAAACCATCAACCACATGCTGAATATCATGACGGGCAACGACTTAGCAGCGTTTGCCGTGCCTGAAGAATCCGTTTTGAAACCGGGCGTTGATCTTCGAACTGCCAAGATCACCCCAGTTGAGGACATGATGATCTTAAAAATGGTTCCTTTGGCTTTGAGCTTGAAGCCAAATCCTTTGGTTTAGAGCTGCTGTTACCAACCAAGATCTAGAATGATTGATACTGTTTTTATTCAGGCACATTGGGACTCGCGTGACGCGTCATCACCAAAATCATATACGCTTGGCTGAAGAATCCTTCCAGTGGCAAATTGAGTTTTCAAGCAACCAAACGTTACAGGCTCTGCCATGGACACCGAAGCTGATCAAAACTTAAAACCACCCATTTTGTTTTCAGAAGCGATATGCAGCTCTTATTATTGAGCCACACGTCCGCACCAGCGCTCCCGAAGCTGGTTACTTATTTCAATTTTGGGGTTAGACAAGTCCATTGCTCGCGACTTTCTGCAAGTGTCAGTAAAACATGAAGAAAGCGGGTGGTGTTATACCATGGTTTCATACTGACGGAAGAAAACAGCTTTATAAAGCCACCCATATACTTACTCATTTCCCATGGCCTCCAAAGCCACAAAAACAACCCCCCAAAAAGACAGACAAATAACTTTTGAACAGCTTGAGCTAGCGGGGCTGAAGTTTTTTCATTACCTTTGTCCACAAGCAGCAAGGGCTTACCCCGTTCTTTCTCTCTGCTAAGGTTGGGGACGATGAAGGTGTTCAACACAAGGCGTTTCATTACGCATTCGAACGACTACACGTGAGGGGCCTCGCTGAAAGCGAGGTTTCTCATCCTTCTTGGAACGCTTTCAAAAAAGCTGTTTCTCGTTCAAGACTGACCATAGCGATGATGAAGCTCACCTTGTGCTGCATCTTGAATGAGCAGTGGTTTGATTTGTTTTGGGTGGGCCCCAGCAATGATTTCCAAAATCAACCAAACAAATCACCCCATTTTGTCCCTGCAATTGAGTCCAAGAAACGCTGTTGCCTTATGCAATTCTCAGGTAACTTCGACCACGGTGCTTGGAAGAGCGGGGATCGTCTTGAGGCAAAACGCGACAGCTTTGAAGTCTACCTGAGCACAAAAGGCTCTGACTACTTTGAGGAATTTGCTGAGTTGGTGGCTCACGACCGCAATGAAGCCTTTGACCCTGATCACCACCCTGCCGAATGCATGTCTGAGTGGATGTCCAGCAAAGCTCTGAGAAACAGAGGGCTCTACGCCACTTGTCAGTATTTGGAACCGGTATAATATACATTTTTCTTCCCCGAATTGTTTGAAACTGGAATTGAACGATTGCCCGCTCCCATGGTTTTTCAGCTTGAGGTGAAAACAAAGGCTTGGTTTGGCTTTCACGCTGCACTCAGAGATCTGATTGCTGATTGGACAATTCAGCTGGAGGCTTTGAGAGCGCTCAATCAACAAGTGGAACCTTGGTCTGGTTATGTTTAACTTAAAGGCAGGTGAGGGTCTCTAGATGATGACACGACATCCCACCCACTCCTTTCCTTCTTCATTCCTTGACACCTGTGCACGTTTTCATCAACAACGGCAAGTTTCATCTGAACCGCGTCTTCTCTGTGATTGTCGCTGTTTTGATTGTGCACGTGGTTGAGTTTCGCCGATATATTGTCTAGGAGAAAACTGCTGCCGTGAAGAATTACACAGGGGATCATTTAAAGCTTAAGCAACACATTTTTTTCTAAATATGCATTTTTGGGGTTTTATCGAAAACAAAAAGCTTCTGAGGAGAACGATCAGTGCGAAGATCTTCATGTTGAGAGGGATCGGGACAGGGAGGAAGAGGAGTTTGATGGTGATGTGGGAAGGCAGGAGCCTCGCACCAAGAGTGAACTCTATGCCATCTTCGGGAAGAATGGACCAACTGCAATGGTACTGGGGTTTATGGAAGACCGCAAGCTGCAAAGCATTGCGCGTATTTTCGTTGAAATTACAAGTCCACTGGAAATGTCCTACTATGACTATGAGACCCTCGAAGCTTTGAGCAAAGGGTGGAATGAACAATCTAGGTGGGTGAGCAGAAGAGCCTCGGGCAGTTGGTACCAAGTAGTCAGTGGCATATTGGGTGTGTTGGAAACGTCCGTTTTCCAAGACAGGCTTCATTTCACAAAACCGCTAAAGCCAGTGGCTTTGGAGGAGGGTGTGCCTGAGTGGGCACAGGGTGAGATGGAGTTGCTGGAACTGGCATTTGACTTTGCTGAATGCTTGGCAGAAAACGTTCTGTGGAGCAATGCTCGCTACTGGTGGAGCATACCTGAATTGCTGGCCACACTGTTACACTCCGAGCGGGGTGTGCGAAAAGCTGGAATGCAGCAAATGAAAACGATAGTCGAGGCAGTTTTGGCAGCAGAGGCTCATCAGTCAAGACAAAAGGAGTGGGCAGAGGTTCTTGCTGATTTGGGCTGGCAGAAACAACAACTGCCACGAGAGGCTATGGCCCTTCTTCTCCAATGTGAGTTTGCACTGTCTGATGTGAAGCTTCGAAAACTCAGCTCCAGACTGTTTGTTGGCTCACCGTCCACCAAGGACACACTGGAGAATTGCTTTGCTTTTTTACACCGCAAGGCGGCAACCCACAGCACGAACGCCAAGATGTCTGATGCTTGCAAGTACACATATGCCATTATTTCACCTTACTCTGAAAGCGGCGGGGCACCCCAAGTACTTCCCAGTGCTCAGGATTTCACTACGATGCTTTCACCCCAAGGACAAGAAATGAGAGACTGGTTGAATCACCATCTATTCAGTCCGCAGAGATCACTTTTCCCTTCAGGCAGGAAGCCAACATTGCAATCTGCAAGTGAGATTTATGAATCCAAATGGAGGAGTTCTGGGGTTCAGGCACAACAGCGGTCTGCAGCAGCAGCTGCTTATTTGGTCGCTGATGCTGCAAACAACTTCAGTCATGTGGACGATTGTTGGATCGGCTTCTTGGCAAAAGACAGTGTGAAAGTTGCCAAAAGACATTGACTGACGGACATCTTTGAAAAAAAGAAAGTGCAAGTTAGCTCAACATCATGGATGTGGCTGTTACATTTTTAATCTCCAGCTTTTTTTTGCCGACTTGCAGTTTGCAGTACCGCTTGTTTATGTTTTCGAGCTGAGGTAGTCTCTTCGTTCCCGGAAAGGTCTACTTCAATGCAAGTCTCGATGTGTGCACGCTTTGCTTGGGGAACCGGAAGTGGACCACTGCTGGCTTCCCATTGAACGGATCAGGATTGAAGACGAGGACTACTGCTACATGCACCTGACAGCTACAATGCACCTGATATATTTCATATTTATGTGTATATATAAACACCTACCAAAAAAACACACACACACATTTTTATTTATATATTCATATGTCATAGGTATATATATATATACTCATCTAAAACTATATGTTCCTTGAATATCTCTGAAGCAATGTTCTTTATGTGCTGAAAGAGGTTGGACTGCAAATCTGGTCATTAAACATGTTCCCCCAGAAGGCAATCAAAGGGTTTTGGATTCTGAAATTTTGGGGTCCTTTATAAGAGAGGATATGTTGTACAATTATATAATGATATATTCTACACTGCTAAAACAATAGAATCATGTTTCTCCAGTTCTTCTCCCGTTCTTGCTTTCTTCCAGGAGTTTCTGATCTTGGAGAAAGAGGTGAGAGATATTCCAGCCCAAACACTTGTTTGGATGATGAATTGGAAAGTATTTGAATCAGACTGGGTGTTCCTTCCAGTTCGGCTTCTGGTTCGTGGGTTGTTGCCTGAGCCCATCTTGAATCTGGGTACATGCTTTGCTTTTCACATCATGGATCCTGGCGGGCAGCCTCTGCTAGAGTCTGCAGTTCGCTCTGGTTGTTGGATCTCTTTGGCAAACCTTCAATCTTTGTTTGCTGCATTGGGTCTGAACAAACCTACCAGAGGATCCGGAAAACGCTTGGCCAATGGTAGCAAAAGCATATTGAAAGTAGACTGGGCAAGAATGTTGGTTCAGCATCTTTTCCCCGGTGAAGAAGATGAAGCTGAGATCAAAAGAATGATTGCCGGCATCACGCATCGGTCAACCAAAAACCTGTCCGATGATGAAACCAAAATTCTTGACATGGTGTCCGAATTGGACGAGGAGAATAGAAATTGCCCTGAGTTCAAAAAGATCGCAAAACTTGCAAAGCAGCAATCTACAGAGAAAACAGAGACAAAAGCGCGAGCACAAGTGTTCGCAGAGATTCGCGAGGAAGAAGAGGCCAGGAAAAAAGAGGAGGAAGAGGAGAAGCAGCGAATTGAAGAAGAGAGACAGAAGGAGAGGGCTAAGATAGAAAAAGCAGCCCTTGAAGCTTCTGAAAGAGAGCGTGCAAAGCCATCTGCGGCAGCTTCTTCTGGCAGTGGAACCCGCAAACCAAGCACTACACCAAAAGCTTTGAAGGATTTTCTCACCCAGGCTATGCAGGATGATGGTATTACTTTGAATCGGGAACCGGGATCCTATGGTTACCGTGCAACTTACAGTCGTTCTGCACCAGGTCTGCAAAAGAATTTTCAGAGAAAATGGGGTACATCGGCAAACCCCCGCGAAGAAGATGCTTTGCTTACTGTCCTGGGATTTATTTATGCACGATGGAACGCGGACCACAAGTCCAGAGTGAACCTGCTGCTTGGCTTATGCGGGGAGTTGCTGTTTTCTGTGATGTTGGGCATTACATAGTACAAGGACACATCCCACCAAAGTTATTTTCAATGGGCATTTAAATTTAACGATCTGGAAGCCCCAAGAAAGTCTAATCACCAAAACAAGACGTGGATGGAAGAAATCCTGCACTGCCCGGGATGGTAGAAAGCCTAATACATACATAATCGGATAAACCGCTTATTATTTAACTGGTGCAGGATTTCTTCCATCCACGGTAGGATGATTTTGCTTATTGTCGTTGATATAGATTATTTCCTCATGTCCAAGGAAAATTTGGTTGTCATTCATTACTAATCCCAATAATGCCCTTTATCAATGAAATAAGTTTGGAAAAACTCCACTTGTCTTATCTCAATTTTTGCAGTGGTGACAAATATTCCCATTGGTTTTCTACTTTTTTGGTCATTATTTTTACACAGTCAAAGTCAAGATTCCTTCAAGGTCAAACCCTCCGACCGCTAAATGCTGCCCAAAGGCCCTCTTTGAAAGATGCCCAAGACTTTGTGGCCAGCAACTCCAAGTGAGATCCGCCATGCCGAGTCTCTTCATTCAGCGTGGCTGGGAAATTTCACTTTAATATATACCAATGTTTTGTCACACAAATATCCCAAAGTCTCCGCTGTCATCTCAATGATATGTAACTATGTGAGTTGTTTTTTCAAGCTAACAAGAACCGACAATCCGGAATCACTGACAAGTGTCACATAATTCTGCGCTGGAACCTGAAACTTGGGATCCAGAAACTCCGCAAACCAAGGTCTGAGTCTTTCAAAAGATTCCTGCATCATTCAAAATACCATTTTTTTGAGTTTGTCAGTTTATCTTTTTCATTTTTCAACTGTTTATAACGGTGTGCCAATCACTTGGCGAAGCCAAGACAGTGCCGGAATCTGAATTTGGGAGCCCAGTTTCGTCGCAAGACTGCTGAGCAGAAGCGCGAAAAGGAAAGAGACATTATTTGTGCAGTGAGCTTATTGGGAACTTCTTGCTAGGGGGGGGTTCAAGGGGGGGGGGTTTGAGCATCTGTGATTGAATTTAAACCGAAGCAGTGTGTGAACCAAGGTTTTTGGAACAGGCCATACATAGAAAGGTTGCGCGTGTAAATGGTGTTCTGCACAAAAGCAAGTGGACTGACAGGCCACCTGTATGAGGTATAGGAACGTAGAAAGGACAGAGCAAACCGATCGCGAGCACCACAATGGAAATGGAAACAAATAAGAACATGCGCATGTTGCGCGAGGCGTGGGCAGAGTCGAACCCAGCACATTGCAACATATTGCAACGAAAGACGCAGAGGAAAAACACGAAGAAGAGACACAAAACATGGGTTTTGCGTAAACTGGGGTTGGAGTTGAAACCGAATCATGTCTGTAAACAAAGGTTGACACGAAAAATGAAAAAGCACGACGCGGATAATGAAGGGGGGGAGGGGGGGAGGGGGTGGTGGTTAGACGAGGCAAAAATCCGCGCCAAGGGGAAAGAAAGTCTAGACAAAGACCAAAGACAAAACAAACAGTAGAACTACGAGAACAAGCAAGATCCACAAGACACGCCGGCAGGCGGGCGGATTGGTATGAATAAAAGCCTGCAGACCTGCAGTCCCAGACCCAAAAAATTGCCACCAACCCGCGTTGGTTATGGACAGATGGATCAGCAGAAGTTGATCCCTACATTAGTGATGCCGCCCTGGCAATTGTGGTAGACACTTTCATGACCAGTGAAGATAGAAGACAATGGATTGAACAAGACAAGATCAACTATGAACCCTTCCAGGTTTACTGTGTGCGCAGAATGGCAGGTCAGCAAGATATTGCTCGAGCTGAATATTTGGCAGTGATTTTAGTGCTTCGCACTGTTCCCCATTTCCATTAACTGTTGACAGTGATTACGCTCTGGAAGTCTTTGACAAGATGACCCAAGAAGATTTTGATTTAGCTGATTTCGTGACTCGGCAAACTGCGATTAAAAATCCTTCTTGTCGAAGCATTGGATAAACTACTCCCCTTTGCATCCCGAAATATTTTAAAAAAACATAGTAAAATTTCATTCTGAATCCAACAGATCCAATAACCCTGAAATGAAATACCTTCAGTTGGGAAATGAAGTTGCCGATAAAGCTGCAATAATAAGCTGAATCACGACCTTCCGCAAGTTGTTGCGGCAAGAACTAAGGCCATTGCAGATGCAAATTTTCTCAGAAAAACTTGGCAAAAAAATGTATGATCATCTTTAGTTCATTGGAACTGTGTTTGCCAAAAATCACGAACCCCAGTTGCAAAATTCAGATTCCGCAGAACCGTCTGAAGCATTACCTGTTGAGCCAGAGGCATTGTTGCTCCCATGCCCATTTCAGCTGGCAGATGAATCCGATTCTGAAGTTTAAGTAGATCAGCTTGGGGGGCAACATATTCAGCAGTATTTTTTTCTTTCCTGAAATCTGAACATGGTATGATGATGAAATGAATCCCACCACCCGTGGTTTGAGCTACTCATATCATTTCGAATAACCACAGCTACACCAGTTAAACTTGCGTCCCACCGACAAGTTTGGCAGTCGCCATCTATCTACCCTTGGCTGTCCCCACAAAGAAACCCTTGGCCAGGAAGTTTCTGCTTTCACTACCGCAATTGCGACGTAGAATCCAATGTTGGTTTTTCTTTGATCCCTGCTGAAAAAGTTGTACAAACCCCATTGCCAAAATATTACGAGCGAGCTTGCAGAAACAATGGGTAAGCAGACGCGTGGTATTGCCGAACCACCAAAAAACTGTTTAGATCTTTAATGACTATTGACGTCCCAACATTTAAAACCCAAGCAGACCCCAAAGTTAAAATATCACCTTTGCCTGGCTGGCTCATACCAAGGCCGGTATTGGCTGAGGATGCCATCTTACTCGACAAGACAAGAGCTGTTCTATGGCATAACTATAAAAATTATATCTCGCAAAAAGAGACCCAAAAAAAAACACCAAAAACGAATAAAAACTGAAATGACCGAAAGCGACACAATCCCTGCAAGAGCCTTCTGCTAGTTGCACTTGAAATGCCTAGTGAAATAGGTCAGAGCTACTTCAAACACCCTTTTGACAAGCTTGAGGAAATTTCGTACATATAAATTATATAGTAATTAACTCCATTTAGTTAGGTGTTTCCAATCTGCTTCCATTCGCAGCAGAGCTTCGTTCATTTGATCTTAGCGTAGTTCCAGGACGTCTGCGGAGAGGGAAAATGATGATAAACCTTTACACACTACTGTAAACCATCAATGATATTTGGATACACAATTTTTCTATCAGACCCATCTGATAAAGAATGATAGTGATAAGTGATGATCATTCGTGATATCTAGTGACAATTGATGATCATTAGTGAGTATCATTTTTATAATGGAATATCCTGGGATCCGGCACAGTGGAATACTGATGAACAACAATGATAATCATGATGATACTGGCAATCATAGCAATAGGAAGACAGATACTGATGGTCACTGAGTGGATCAGGTCACTTTGCCCTGCAAGCTGTTCTCCATCCAGATGCTGGCAGCCTCAAACACCCTCAACCAATCGGTCGGTTGGCA